ATCTGGTTTGATGGAAATCCTGAACACAGGGTCTTTGGTAATCTCATCCACTTGATTACTGTTTTGAGAAGGATTTTCCAGTATGTTTTCTTCTTTATGTTTTGAAATTTGTTGGGGAAGACTATCGAAATCACTAGCAACAGCATGATCTTCTGCAGCCTGTCCCAAGAGAACTTCAGAAGAGACATCAGGACTTTGCTGAAGAAGACTGACTATACGTGGTGACTGAGAGTCTCTCGGAAGCATGAGAGCATTCCTTTTCAACTTATCAACTGCATTTACATTTGCTCCAGACTTTACTAAAAAGTCCACCATTTCCTCTCCTTTTTGACTTACAGCAAGTAAAAGTGGTGTGAGATGACTCTTGTTTTTTGGGTCAATATATGCACTGTTTGAAAGCAGTTTGTCTGCTATTGATACATTCTGGTGATAGCATAGTGAAGAGGAGTGTTGCCATAGAGATCTTGAACGTGTGAGTCGCCACCATCTTTCAGCAGAACAGTCACACATTCGTCGTCCTGGCATTGGATGGTCTCTGTCAGAGCTGTCCTCTTTTCATTGTCACGCCCGTTACGTTGGCACTTTCTTTTTACCAGGAGTCTTACCACTTCTGCATGGCCATTGGCAGAGGCCAAATGTAGAGCAGTCCTTCCATCTCCATGTCCTCAGGCTCGCTCAGCTGCTGCTCGCCCGCTTTCTGCTCATGTCAGCCAAGGCCTGGACCTCACCTGCCGCCGGGGCCGGGGCTATAGGCCCAGCAGGCAGGTGGCGGCGGCCTTCTCCTCCTCCTCCCAGCGTGGGCAGCGGCCCCCGGGGCGTGTGTATCATTGTTATTAAAATATTCATTTCAGTCAGTGTACCCTGCCATTTAGTTTTGATGATGTGTTACCTCCTTAATGCAGAGAAAAGTAACATAGACCTGTGTTAAATGAGGCCTCAGCCTGATTTCTTTACCCGAATTCATGTTGTGAGAAAACAGAGGAGAGCAAAGGTCAGGCAGGCTGCATTCTCTGTGAGCCCATGTTGCCTTTTGTATAAAATTAAGGACTTGGACTAAATCCCAGCATTTCGGACATTTCTAAAAGATTATATAAGAAATATAACTTGTCTTTTTTTTAGAGAAATTGCGTGAAACCGTGTTGTATAGGACAGACACAAGTAGAGCTGTCTAGTGAAAGAAGGGCTGAAGTTGTGACTTCTGAATCCCTTCACCCTGCAGTGTCCTCTGTGGGACCTCAGATTTCTGTGGGATACAGTTTGAAAGTCACCGGTTATGAGGGAATCCTTCCAGTTAGCAAAAAATTGCTGGTACATTGTTTACTTGTGTGTAATTTTCTCACCTTCTGCTTTTAAGAATGGAATAGTAGAAATGAAGGTGTAGCTGTGCTGCCTTGTTAATGTTGGACTTGAACCTACCTCCACCACCTGAGACATAATCCCCACCTGGACAAATTTTTCTGTTTAAGCAAGCCTCAAGTTAAGTCTAATCTGGGCAAATATTAAAAGCCCCAGTTGGTAAGTGAGATATGATTCCCATTCCCATGATAATGTCTCTGGTTTACTTAAACATTGTAAATAATATTAGACTTATTTCAGATGCAGCAGGAGTTGGAAGAAAATATAAGTGTATACAGCAAATGGTAGCCC